GAGGGGGAGAGGGGGGGACATTGCTCGCTCTCTCCCGGTGATCGTACATAGCTAGGAAAGGGAGGCGGGGAGAGCAGGGGGATCGGGGGGAGGAGAGGGGGGGGGAGGAGAGGGAGGGGGCGGCGAGGGGGTTAGATACATATCCACGTTCATCGATCCTCACCTGCGCGATGACTTGGCGCTCCACGTCAGCCGTATCCAGCGTCGTTACCCCCAAAGCTGCAAGGAAGTCCACCTCGGACGTCTCCGCGGCCTGCTTGTCCGTTGCCATCTTCCCGTCTCTCTCCTCTCCTCCTCCTCCTCCTCCTCCTCCTCCTCCTCCTCCTCCTACTCCTCTCCTTCGGTATTAACAACTCGCGGTTCCATCACTGTCACTTTCCCGCCATCACTTTCCCGCCTTCAATTTCCCGCCCTTCTGAAAGAATCGTATATAAAATTCTCGCTAAGATAATTTTCAACTTGCGGTTACATCACCATCACTTTCCCGCCCTTCTAAAAGAATCGCATATAAATTTTTAATTTTTTAATAAAATAATTTTCACTAGTTTTGTTGTGTACTACTTCAATTTCCATCGACCCCCCAAAAAAATATAGGCACCAACAAATCGATACATACTATGTGCGCTGTATCTGACCCCCACCCGATCCGGACATTAGTACTTGTTCTGCATCTGACCCCCCACCGATCCCGACACCAGTATGTGTTTCTGTATCTGATGCCCCACCCGATCCAACACCAGTATGTAATTTTGTATCTGACCCCCCGCCCGATCCCGACACCAGTATGTGTTTTGTATCTGCTGACCCCCCCCCGATCCCGACACCAGTATGTGTTTTGTATCCGATCCCGACACCAGTATGTGTTTTGTATCCGATCCCGACACCAGTATGTGTCTTGTATCCGATCCCGACACCAGTATGTGTTTTGTATCCGATCCCGACACCAGTACGTGTTTTGTATCCGATCCCGACACCAGTATGTGTTCTGTATCTGACCCCCCACCCGATCCCGACACCAGTATATGTTCTGTATCTGACCCCCCACCCGATCCCGACACCAGTATATGTGTTCTGTATCTGACCCCCCACCTGATCCCGACACCGTATGCTACGCTATCGTCGTATCCGCCCGTGCTTCTTTCTCTTCCTCTTCTTCTTCTTCCCGCCTTCCCTCCGAGGAGGAGGCCAAGACCGACAGCAACGATGGGGATAGATCGATGATTGGGAGACAGAGATTCACACGTGTCATCCTCTCAACACCTCTTGTCCGTCCCCCACTTGCAAGAAGGAAGTCATCACGAGCAGAAACCACTTTTTCCTCTGATTCCACTCCTTTCCACGTCCACATCCATGCGTTCTCTGAAGCCACGTGGCAGCCACGTGGCGAGCGTACTTTCGTTGCCGGTTACACTCTTGCGTGCGTTGTGATGTTGCCACGTGGCGAACGTACGTTCGCCTGCCGATCCCACTCCGGCAGTTAGGAAGGCATAATCCTCGTCAGCTCCCGATCCACAAAACGACAAACTCCTCATCCGCTCCTGATCCACAAAACGACAAAATCCTCGTCAGCTCCCGATCCACAAAACGACAAACCCCTCATCCGCTCCTGATCCACAAAACGACAAAATCCTCGTCAGCTCCCGATCCACAAAACGACAAATCCTCGTCAGCTCCCGATCCACTAGACGACAAAATCCTCTTCAGCTGCTGATCCACAAAACGACAAAAGGAATGTGCGCACATATTCCACGTCAGAAGATGAACTCAGGCTTCTTTCTCTTTGTTCTGTAACACTG